ACCTGGACAATCTTGTCCCGTACATGCCTCAACGAGGAAACGAAGGAAAATATTCCCGAGGTCTCCGAGTCGTCTCCCCCCTCCTCCATCCACTCCTCCTCTCTCGATTCCGAGCCGAAATTAATCGACTCTTCCCCGAGAGAAGAGGCAGACGAAGTCGGAAGGGGACGCCCGAAGGCCTGGGCCTTCGCATCCCCGGGCTGCACCCGGCCCGAAGCCGAGTCCCGGTCCCGAGGTGCCGGGGGTTCAAGGGAACCCACCTGGCTCTGGGCTAGAAATCCGCTAGAGGAAGCCTCGGCCTCGGAAGAGGCGTCTGGCTCCGCTAGGGAGAACTGTGCGTCGGTAGTGAACGGGCCAGTGCCCGCCACCCCTCCGCTGGGGAGCGACCTCGAGCCGGCGCCGAAGCCCGGTCTGAGTTCGTCCCCGAGACCAAGTGGCCTGCCTCGGCCGACGCCGGGCATATCACAAGGTCTCGAAGCCGCGTCCGGCGCCGACAACGGGGAAGGCTCGGTCCGCAACTCCTCTCGGAGCTGAGACTTTACCTCCTCCATCATCGACGCCATCTGCGACCTCAACAAGGCAGAGATGTCTGCCAAAGACGGTGCAGGAGAGGGTGCAGTGATTGTGACGGGGACCCTAGAGCCTTCTCCCCCGGCCCCCGGGGAGGGAGCGGAGGAGACAGTCTCAGCTGCCTTTTTACCCTTTCTTACTTTTTTTGAGGGGGGCGGGGCGGTCTTTGCCGATCTAATGTCCACCCCCGCCTTCAATAGACCCTTAAAGTGTAAGAGGTCCACATTTCTCTTTTTTTGCGCCCGTGGTGTAAATGCAACACAGATCGGGCATGACCCATCGTCATGCCCGTCTTCGGCCAAACACTTTATGCAGGTATCATGCCTGTCTTGGGGGGGAATCGAAGCCGAGCACCCCGTACACAGTTTGAAGGTCTGTAAAAAAGACCGTAATTTTTGAGTTTGGCGGGAAGGGTAATAAAGTGTATCAGTGCGATTGAAAGATCGGAAAGATACGTGCATAAATTGTGTAACTAGAAGCAAAGGCGTAATTTAGAATGCGATTGGTAACGCGATACTAATAGCCAATGTCGTAGTATAATTATAACACCAAAGTGGGCGTGTTAGGCGCGAAGGTGTAGAAAACCCGTAAAAAAGGTAAGTGTAATTTAAAATAATTAACACACCACCTTGGGTTTATTTAAAGGAAAAGATTGTAGGCTAAAGCCCGATGATATAGATTAAAAAACCGAAGCCGTTTTTGATGGCCCTGGTGTTACATATATCATACGTGGCACTACAAAATGGACGCTACGACGGCCTTATTTCAAAGGTATCGTACACGTGTCACATAATTACAACTTTATAACTTTACAATGCGAGGTATTACGCCTTTGCATGAAAGAAATGTACCATACATACAGTTTGGTCTGCCATGGTTCTTGTACGAACGATTATCTTGTCTTTATATTGTCTTGAAAAAAACAGCACGTCTGTCTTTGTCAGATGACATAAGGAAAGTGATTTGGGTGAGAGTTGCTTCCCTTGGCGTGACGCGCCGTGGAGGGTGAGGCACCATAAGGGTGGACGTATATCATACAAAAACAAAGTTTTTTGTGTGGTAACAATTTTTATTAAGGAAAATGGTTACAACTATGTCATGTAGATTTTCTTGAGCCAGGAAAATGCAATAAGTGCCCCAAGGAGGATTTAATCTGAAAGAGAATACTTCAGTTCCTAGAACTTTCAGTGCCCGGCTCTGCCACCACAAACCAGCAGGTACGGCTTCTTTCAGTCATATTTCCACCTCAAAGGTTCCCAGACAAAATCTATGTCGTATGTAAAGTAGAGAAATCAGTCGGGCAAACAAGAAAGATAACTTCACAAGCAGGTCAGAAGAACTGAGTTTGAAGTATGGCAGCATTTGTAGAGCATGTGAAAATCGTTTTTTCACACTACATGATAAACGTATAAACTGTGTTCAATGTAACTATGAGCGCAGCCTCAAATTCCTTGACAATGTTGGGCGAACTTTTAACAGAGCAGATTGACATGATCAATGATTTGCATCTGTATCGTTCTGTAATAGAGTTCAATTGTACTATTTGAATATTACTGGTGTTTTTAAAGGCCCGAGTATTTCTCCCATGGGAGAAAAATATTAGCCTAGCCCATGCTCACCAAGCAGAGGGGTGACTGAAATATGAGCCTGATAGAAATCTCTGCTTTGGCCATGGGGCTGTGTAGGCGTGTGCCGTATGTCACAGCATGGCACCTCTAATTACATTTAGTACTAACTACTAAATGACTTTATCGCGCGTATCCAAACCATTGGCTAATTACGTCTTGGGGAGCCAAGCAGGCCAGGACAACCAGAAGACAAATCCCGGGAGTACACATTACGCAGGAGGCTACAGCTGATGGTGAGTCTGCCAATTACGGAAATATCGAAGGTGGCAACAGAATTAACGTGCAATCGGCGCAGCTTGTAAATGCCGCGCAGGCTGCCAACTCGGCTACCCAGGTAAACGAGCAACTGGAAAAAATACTACAGTTGCTGGAACATTCAGCGCCCGGCCCGGTTAGCGCAAACCAACAGGTAAGGCTTGGTTTTAGTTCTCCCGCCTTTTCTCGCAACATAGGGAGAATCCCCGATGCTCACAACGAGGCCGACGGTGACGCGGCTTGGCCAGCCAATCGCATCACAGGATACGGGGATTCCCTATCCTTCCGTGTGGATGGAATAGACGCACACATCAAACAACAGGTGAGGGAAAAAATCTGGCGTGGCGAGTATGTCGACCTCGGCACAATCCTACCAAACACCGAGGGAAGTCACGAGGACGGTACGATTACCATGGCGTACGACTCCTCAGGTAAGGTAATTTTAAAACCAATAAAGCAGCAACTAAAGCGCCTGTCCCTGGCAAGCTGGACTTCAGCTTTCCACATTTTCATGTGTATATATGTTAGTAGGCACTCCGAGATCCGCACAACCCAGGGGTTGCTGTCCTACAAGGAAACCATAAGAACGGTGGCACTTCGATTCGGGGGGGATGCCTGGTCAACCTACGACCAACAATTCCGACACAGAATGTCAAGGGACCCCTCACGACGCTGGGACAACATCGACGGGGAGTTGTGGCTGAAGTACATGGTAACACAGCCGGTACGACAACCAGAATCAGGCGGACGGGGCGCAATGACACACGTACAGGGGGACATTGCCAGTCAGGTATGTTGGGATTTCAATAAATTTGGCTGTAGCAGGGTCAACACTCACAAATGCGGTAAGTGTGGCAAACATTCCCACAGCTCTAGGACCTGCTTTCGAGGGAATGGGGTCCAACCGACCCCATACGTGCCCAATCAGCCTTTCCCTAACAGAAAACCAGCCATCAAGGCAGGTAAATTCAATTGCCCCTTCCCCCGTGGATCTCAATGAAATGGCACCCTGGTTACGCCAATATGCTAGGGTCAATTACAGAGATGCAAATTATTTATGGGTAGGTTTTAGCTTTGGCTTTAAGCTTGAGTTCCAGGGAAGCCGCACGAGTCGCCTGGCACGAAACTTGCGATCAGCCACGCACCAAGACACGGCAGGCTACGTGAAACAAAAACTACAAAAGGAAGTCGACCTTGGCAGGATGGCAGGCCCCTTCAAGGACACCCCCCTAGACAACCTCAAAGTATCCCCAAAAGGCCTGTTGCCCAAGAAGCAGCCAGGATATGGTCAGCACCTGGGTAAGCATGCGGAGGAATTCCGTCTAATTCACCATCTATCCTATCCCAGGGGTAAATCTATAAATGACTTCATAGACACAGAGGCCTGCTCCGTTGTGTACGCCAGATTTGATGAAGCTACCCATATGGTTCAACAACTGGGAAAGGGAGCACTACTAGCAAAATTCGACATTCAGTCGGCCTTTAGAATTATACCAGTCCACCCATCCGATTTCGAGCTGCTAGGCATCAGATTCGAAGGTGAGTTCTATCTCGATAAATGCTTACCATTTGGCTGCTCCATATCTTGCGCCATATTTGAAACGTTTAGTACCTTCTTGCAATGGTGCATGCAATCGCATCTTCCAACGTGTCAGATCATGCATTACCTGGATGACTTCCTAACGGGGGGCACAGCAGGCACCAGCCACTGCTCAGACAACCTCAACGGATGCGTGAATACACTAGAACAGCTTGGGGTCCCTATTGCGCACGACAAGACGGTGGGCCCCACGACCAAACTGACATTCCTAGGGCTGGAAATCGACACCATTGCAATGCAGATCAGAATCCCAGAGTCCAAGATCAAGGAGGCAACAAGGGAAATCCAAGACATCCTGTCAACAGGTAACATCAAGGTCACAAAAAGGGCCCTTCAGTCCCTCATAGGCAAGCTTAACTTTATGTGCAGGGCTATACCAATGGCAAGGGCATTCAGCCGCAGGCTAATCGATCTGCTTAGCAAAGGTAAGCAACCATTTCACCACATTAGGATTACCAGCTGGGTCAAGGAAGACCTACAAATGTGGTTAACATTTCTTACAAGTTATGACGGCATTTCAGTGTTTCAGGAACAACTGTGGGTAGACAGCGATTTCCTCCAGCTGTTTTCAGACGCAGCGGGTGGTGCTGGCTTTGGGGCCTACATGCAGGGCAAATGGTTTAACGGCGCATGGCCAACCCAATGGGTGACGGATGGAACTACACGGGACTTGACACTCCTGGAGCTGTTCCCCATCACACTGGCCATCCAACTCTGGGGCAACAACTCGCAAACAAAAAGGTCCTCTTTTACTGCGACAACCAAGCTGTCGTAGCAATAATCAACAAGCAGTCAACCAAGGCCCCCAGAGTGATGAGCCTACTCCGTCGCCTAATCCTGCAGTGCCTTCGATATAATATTATGTTTAAGGCAAAGTATGTATGTTCCACTGCTAACACTATTGCCGATGCTCTCTCGAGGTTTCAGCTCAAACACTTCCGAGAGGCAGCACCAGCCGCGGACCCGAACCCCACACCTATCCCGTGCAACATATGGCTGATCTGAGGCAGGAAGCCGGCAGACTCCTACAACAATCTCTGTCTACAAATACATGTGCCACTTACCAAACAGGCATCAATGCCTTGCACCAGTTCCGGTCCGCACACCAGCTACAAGAGGTGTGGCCAGTCCCGCTGGATCAGGTTGTAAACTTTATTGCTTATCTGTCAGTCACTCACCACTCCCCTAACACAGTCAAGACTTACATTGCAGCGCTGTCTTCACACTACAAATTCAATGGGCTCACCGACTGTACAAACCATTGCTGGTAGGCAAGATTTTAACAGGCTTACACAAATCAGCGGGCCGACCAGACACCAGAAAACCGATCACTGCAGATCTGCTGCAGGTAGTAACCAACAATCTGCCACACGTATGCTCGTCAGCATATGAAGCCAGACTGTTCAAGGCAGTCTACTGCACAGCCTTCTTCGGTTTCTTTAGGGTTAGCGAACTGGTCCAAACTGGACTCTTAAAACCAGTTTGCGCCATCCAGAATTTAAGCTTCTCGGGCAACCCCCAGCAGCTTTCAATCCATCTACCACACTCAAAGTCTGATCAGTACAGGATGGGGACAACAGTTACAATGTCATCCATACCAGGTAATCCGCTATGTCCTCATACAACAATACGGCAGGTGGAAATCAGATTGCTACAATGCTTACATACGCTTACCAACAAACTCAATGTTACACAATTAATTCAAATAGTCTTTCATGGTACTTACTACACTTCTTATTGTTTACAGTTTGGATGGTGGGATCCAGCTACATGGCCAGGGCACGGCAGTACTTGCTCCTGAAGGGCACCAGTCCGAACCAACCGAGGATGCTATGGCTGGCACGAGGGGAGATGAGGTGGAAGGAGCTGGACACCATTCTGGATGCACAGGTCAAGGCGACACGGCGCAATCCCAGAGCCCTCATCATTCACCTGGGCTCCAACGACCTGTGCTCGGTCAAGGGCAGCCAACTCTACCTTGACATGGCGGCATCAATCCTTCGGATACAACTCCAGCTTCCTGACACCAAGATCATCGTATCCTCAATTCTGCCCAGGCGCTACTGGCACGATGCCAGGTATCCACTAAAGATCGAGGGGATGCGGAAGAATACAATGGTGCCACATCCCCAGATCCTGGCATCAGACAAGACATGGTACGCCTGGAAGGGCGTCCACCTCAGTGACAAAGGATTGTGTGTGTTTACGGACAATTTATTGCATGCCCTGGCGCTTGTTTTGCACCAGTAAGGATGTTATCTCCACAGGTTAGTGTTTCTTTTCAGTACATAGGCAAGCGGGGCAACAATGCTATCTCCGCGTATCGCGTGGCCGTGGGTGTGGGGTAGCACTCTGGTGCTTTGTGGCGGGGTTCTTGTGGGCTACACTGCTAGTAACGAATTGACTTGCTTCCAAATTAATACTCGTGCTTAAGGCTACCTGCTTTTCAGCGGGAACCTTTCCGGGGTTACCTGCTTCTCAGTGGGAACCTTGTCTTTCCCGACTTTTCAGCCGGGGAATCGTAAAATAACATACGTTGGGGCAAACAATTGCCACGTATATGGGCCCGGCGGCGGAAGTCGTCTTGTCAAGCGGTAGCTGACAGTTGGGTCCGCTGCGGTAGTCGCACAATGGTTTTACTAATGGGGCCGGGCAGTGGGATCTGCTTTGGCCGCCTACCTGGGGCCGGGCTGCGGTAATCTGACTTAGGCCAGCAGCGGGGAGCTGCTTTTGGCAGCGTGGGAGTTGCCAAGCAATGGTAGCGTTTAAATATGCTACCGTGGGGGCCGGACAGCGGTAGCAGTCTCAGACCAGCAGCGCTAGCTGCAATCGCCGTTGGCCACGCTAGTGGCCATGGCAACGGTAGCATTTTGGTATACACAATTAGCAGCTTTGTAGCCCACTAGTACCTGCACACCCTCGGCCATTTAACCCAATCTCATCTTCTGTTTTTATTATAGGCACGGGCATCCACGGCTCGGTGGCCCATGCCTCTCCTTGGCATATCGCGGGATAATGCTCTTGTTATGCACAGTGAAGTTATAAAACATCCATCCAGTGTGAGCACATGGCAAAAGCTGCCTGAAGAAATGTCATATTTTCTACTTTATCTGGTGTCGAGATCGAGATATGGTCAAGCATTCAACCAGTCTGCTAGGTAAAGACACAGAAGACAGTCATGTGGAGGACACAGGCATCGAAAAATAGGTGGCCGCCAGGACACAAACAGTTTCCCCTTGATAAATATTACTGCTCATGTAGCCATCTTCGTTAATTAATCATCACGATATTTCATGATTCTGTTTCAAGTGACGAGGACCATACTTGCGTTAGAAGATGAATAAAATATATATGAAACACAATTGACAGATCAAGCAACTTATCAACAATAATTTGCTTGCAAAATACTTTGAAACATGATACAATCTTGAAAGTCAAAAAATACTTTTAGACTTAAATTTGGAAAGAAAGCTTAAAATTCTTATTTTCAGAGGGATTTTAACATTGCATTCTAAAAATGCATTCAATTCAAGAATTTAAATTAAGCCTCTTTCTTCTTTTGGGTCTTAGCCATCACATTAGTTATAATAACGTTCACGTAACTTTGTCATTCACATTTGGACATTTTTACTGCCAACTGCTGCAGACTTGCGGCCAAATATTGTCAAGATGATAAATCCCCGAGTCCGGCTTGAACGTGACAGAAATGTTTACTATGATTACATTTTCAGTCACTTTTATTCCGTTCCAAGTTTTAGCAAAAATAAAGCACTGAGGACAGGTTCGGAATTATAGCCCTCAAATGCTTCTACTCAATAAGAACTACCATCATTGGATATTTACTTGTCCCTGGCACAATTAAGTAGTCTCGGGCTAGCAGACCAGCATAAATTTCCACATTAACCTCCCTACATGGCAGTCATAACCTCTCAAGACACTCAATTACCCAACTGATATTACCACAAACCCTATACGACTACACAATCAATGGTGTGGATGATGTCACAGATGCTGCAGAGTCTGTACTGTCAGAAGACGAAGTAGATGACCAACTGCTATTGGGTGAGCTTGACCCTGAGGTCAAGGTCAGGTCAAGTGATTCTGTATCTACTGACTCTGTTTTCTCACAAGCAACACAACACTTACAACACCCTGTGATAGCATAACCAGTTGTCTGGATAATATCATCATATGGTTCTAATGAGCGCAGGGGCTTGGGAAGGAAGTCCCAAGTCTGCATACTCTTTGGCAACAGTTTTGGACGTTTCTTTTGCATGATACTAATGATGATGATAAACAAGGTCACAAGGCCTGCGACAGACAAAACAGAGATAATGGCGGTTGATCCGGCAAAGGACAACCCAAACACACACAGCGGCACGAGGACAAACATGAAACAAAGATAAAACAGGGCAAACCACCGATACTTCGCTGTCGTCTTACCTAGAAATCGGGCCAACCTCAGAGGAACTCGTCTTAGTATGGGAATGGGATAAAATATCAAGATCCCTGAGACATTGAAGAAGAAATGACACAGTGCTATCTGTAAGGCTGTCTGAAGTCTCTCTGGTGGGGATGCAAGAGCTGCTAAAATGGCGGTAGCAGTGGTTCCAATATTGGATCCTAAGGTTAGAGGGTACATACGGTCAAGTTTGAGAGCTCCGATGCCCACCAGCGGTGTCAGTGTTGACGTGAAGACAGAACTACTTTGTACGACGACGGTGAGACCAGCACCGACCAAGATGGCGACGTAGCCAGTCAGGAAGGAACACTTCCCAGGAAAGTCAGCGTTCACCATTTTCTTTATTGCTGTTGCAACATGGTTCTTCATGATGGAGTTGAGCAGTTTCACCATGGCAACCAGGCATCCACAGAGGAGAACAAGGGAGACAACTAGGAGTATTATACCTGCTTGTATATCAGTGAGGCCCAGATGACTGAAGAGGGCAGAACCTGAAAATTAAGTCAGTTTAGGATTAATAGAGGTCTAATTTAGATAAGCCTCAACAATTATTACAGAAAGGCTTGGGATGATTAGTAAGTCAATTCTGTAATGAATGTTTGGTTATTTATAGCATGTTCTTCATTTTTCGATGTTTGAAGTGTAATATGGAAGTTCGACAGTGTGGTGTGGTGTGGTGTGGTGTGGTGTGGTGTGTGTGTGTGTGTGTGTGTGTGTGTTTGTGGCCAGTTTTAACATGGATACCCCACAGTATACTGGTCTTAAAGCCAACCACTCCTTGTTTGTTTGTTGTTTGACGCCACTCAGCAATATTCCAGCTATAGGATGGAGGCGGTCTGCACAGGTGGAGTCTGCACCAGACAATCCAGTGATTGACATCATGAACATCGTCCTACACAATTGTGATACAATGAGTCAGTGAGTCTGACCACCCAATCCCATCAGTCGCCCCTTACATCAAGCATATATTGCTGAAGGAAAATTATAACCAGGATGGCATTGAAGGACCACATGAACACACTTCATGGACACTTTTCACAAAATATTCACAAAATATACATGGGGATATATATACCTGAAAAGGAGATAACCAATCTCAAAGAAAAGGAAAGGGGACATTTTTTTAAAAATACAACTGCTAACCAGGCTTGAATCGGATCAAATCTTTGCTTGTCAGCAGCCTTAATTCCAACAGCACACATATCAACATCTTTATAAGTGCATTCTTGACATACTTGAAAAAAGATTACATTTCTCTCCCTGCATGTAAAACCAAAAATCTACGTACATTTCTCCACTGTCACTTCCTGTGTGTTCTGAAGCTCTGTAACTGTTCCATTGCCATGGGTGACATTCATTGCTGTTGTCACATCACGGAAGCTGCAAAACTCCTGAGGAATGGAAAAACAGTTTTGTACATCCATGTTCTCATCACTATATAATATTCATACCTAGCACATCATGGTTTTTCATGGAATTTGATTGGCTAACCATGCAATTTGTTTTGCATTCCCATTTTCATAAACATAAATAAAATAGGCCACACCTACAAGAAGACTACTGCTTCATGATTGGCTGAGTGGGTGGGGCATGTTTTGCATTATCATCATGATTGATTTCTCATGGTTTTTCATGTTATTGATAAATTATTAAGAGTTATTATTGTTGATTTATTAATGTAAAACATAAATTGAAATAAATATTGAAGTTACAATAGCGGGAGATTTTCTGTTCAATTTGAATAAATCCTCAAATTGAAACAATTCCTGCATCAATCACATGGCATTCCTAGTGTCAGTGCCAAACACTGTTTTGTCTGAAATGACACTAAAGTGTTTGGCTGGTATCATTTCAGTAGAACCATCTATGAGATGAATCCTCCTGAACAGCCGAATCAGTTCATCTGACTCTAGAAGGTGAGGAGGTGAATGGGGTTTACCATTAATGTCGTGTCCAAGATTATTCTACTTATATAGCTCTGTACATGTGTGTGTTTGTGTGGCTGCTTGTACTAGTCCGGACTGATGCTGACTTATAGTGCTAGCTCACTGAGACACAGAGCCACAGTTTAACAGGAATACCCCACTCAGACACAGTAAACTGACTCTGTGCCGACTAGTCCTTGTTTTAGCCCCTGAATGCCGAGCGCCAGACAGGGTAACAACAAGTACCATCTTTTAATGTATTTTGGTGTGACGCGGCCGGGTATTGAACCCCAGACCTTCCGCTCTCTAGGCAGACGATCTACCACTAGACCACGGAGGCGGTCCTGACTAGAAAACAACACAAATCCAGTCAGAATTCAAGTGAGTGAGTGATTGAGTATGGTTTTACGCCGCTTTAAGCAATATTCCAGCAATATCACGGCGGGGTACACCAGGAATGGGCTCCACACATTGTACCCATGTCGGGAATCGAACCCAGGTCTTTGGCATGACGAGCGAATGCTTTAACCACTAGGCTACCCGACCGCCCCTCAGAATTCAAGATTCAATTGGCTAGGCAATCATATGTGCAGTTAAAGGAAACCATGGCATTATTTCAAAAATTTTGGACCCCCCAAACGTCTGTAGGCAATACATACCTTCAGCAAACTCTTATTCTTGTATTCCGTGCATCCCTCTGCTATTTTCAGTATTACGTTCTTGTCAACCTGTGGATAGAATATTCAGAATGAGATCAATTATTGCTACATCTTTCTTAACATTCCTACATATTAGAGGAGAACATCAAGAATGTAATATAACGATCAATGCAGTCAATCTATAAAAGTTCAACTATTTAACTCTTCACTGATACTTTGAGTGAGTCAGGGAATATGGTTTTAATCCAGCAATATCACGGCAGGGGACACAAGAAATGGGCTTCACACATTGTACCCATGTCAGGAATCGAACCCGGGTCTTCGGCACGAGGAGCGAACACTTAAACAACTAGGCCACCCGACCGCCCCAAATAAGATGTGTAAAGATATTCAGGGGTACACAAGCTAAAAAGGCTACTTTGGGTATTTATGATAAGAACAAGTAAATGTCTTCTGGGTCATTTACCTATAGCCAAAACCAGTAATCGTTACTAATATTATGTTTAAACATCAGAAAACATGACTGAATAACGCACCTGGACAATGAGGTCAGTGAGAGGTCGTGTGATGACCTTGAGCATGTCCTTCTTGCCTGTCTTGTAGGTGTGAAGGTCACTGGTGCTGATGATACTTTGCGTAAGGCGGAAGAGATAACCTTTGAGAAGAAAGGGCGCATGAAGGTGAGGTGAAGTGTGGTTTTACGTCACGTTCAATATTATTGCACTTGTATAGTGACTGTGTGTCTATCTATCTGTCTGGTTATTCCATTAAAGGGCTTGGTACAGTTAATATGAATTCTTGTAGGTTAATGAAAGCTCAAGCTAAAAGTGACAATAGTAACAGATGGCAAAAGAACTGACACCAACGTACATATCATGAGCAATGTATGGGTGCAGATCCTGGTTGCAAAGGGACATATCTCAGTCCAATAAGAACAAGCATGAAATACTCATATCCCCCGCCAATATGACATGTCCGGTTGTGTGCAATGCATTGGCTCCTGTGAACTATGTTCACTGGACCTTTTTGTAATAGCCAAATTGGTGTTGTTTTGCCATCTGCAGTTTATGATAGAATATGTAACTGTATTTTATTGTAATGAGTAAGGATGAGACATATGAAGAAATAACTTCTTTATTACAATAAGGAGCGACATTTCAGTGTAGGTTCTAACACCGTTATCAAGCAAGTGAAGTACAGAGTATGGTTGACAAGAATATATTAAGATGCATTTACAGTTGTATTTGTACTGAGTTGTTGTAATGTCCACTAGACCTATTAATGTGCTAAGTTTAGTGAAGAAATATTGTTTGTTTTTCAAGATCTGCTCTGGAAACGAGGACTACCGCCGTTTTCAGTCTAAGTCAAAGTCGTTGCCATGGAAACTCTAAAAATAATTTTTTCAAAAATCCCAAACTATCAAAAGGCACCAGTTCACCACAAGACTTATCTATGTGCCAAGTTTGGTTAAGATATCTCTCATGGTTTTTGTGTTCTGCTCCGGAAACTAAATGTGACGGACGGACAGACGGACGGACGGACAGCACCCATTCCTATATCCCCCTTCCACTTCGTGGCAGGGGATATTAAGATCTTGTACTCCAAGAATGAAGATTTCACAATACACCCCCAGAAGGTTGTGTCAGGTGAACCCCTTAGTGAACTATGACCACCCAATCTAAATGAAGTACGTATGGGTTTCTGAGCCAATCAGATGTCAGCTTTCTGAAATGATTTGTCTTTATTTCATTATAACACGTTGGTTTAGAACTTTGACTATTAACAAAAGAAAATCTTTACAGAATAAACAGTCCTTCGATGACACTGCCTTTTGGGTGTAGATGCCATGGTGCTCAGAAACACAGGACGTATAACATATCAACAACAACAAAATGGTTTGTCTTTTATTATTTGCATTTGGAACTGGCCATTTTACTTTGTTTTCAGACACAAAATCAGATATGCTGGTCTGAAAACTTCACTCTGACTGAGAATCTTAAAGCATCAACAGACTAGCTGATAAAAGTGAGTGAGCACAAATTTAATGTCGCATTATTTCAGCCATATAGCGACGGCGGGGTTCAGATCTTCAGGCAGAGAGGTATCATATCAGAGTAAAAGATCTCATTTTAATGACATCACCCTGTCTACTTACCTGTCACAATTTCCACAGGCAGCAAGATGATGACAGTCAACCAGTTAAACATGTCATGGACGGTGGCGCCAGCAAATGCTCTCTCGAACTGCTGTCTGTCTTTCAGGGAAACCATTGACACAATTGTGTTGGTGACGCTGGTGCCGATGTTTGCACCCATGACTATAGGTATTGCATTCTGTACTGTAATGACTGCAAGTAAATAGAGATAGGAATTGAATCGTACTTATCCTATCTCACACATGATATGCCGATTCGACCATCCCCACACCTCAAGTCCTCTAACCCCATAGCTCTGCGAAAGAGAATGAGTTGGCAGAGGTACACACATGGTCAGCTCGAGCAAGCTTACCATGCACAGGAGCACATAACTGACCCAGTTGTTGTTTGTAACCATTGAGATGCTTTAGCGTTTGGGTGAATGTTTTTGTTCTAGAAGCTGGAAACATGGTTCAAGCAGGTTTCCACATATGATCGAAGAAGATATGAAAATTGTGACATGGGATAAGTTAAAAAATTTGTCAACTTCTGTCACGAAGACAACCACATACCTCCTGATGCAACCATGGAAACTACAATGGAAGTTGATGTTGAGGAGCTCTGCACTAAAACTGTTGCTAGGATACCTATCATCAATCCGGTCACGGGGTTCTGGAGCAGTGAGGAGTTTGAGAACACACTTCCTGTAACATAGAAAGGAGAAGTCGGGTAACAGGTAGACTAACATATAGTTGTTATTGATGCTTTAAGTGTTTAACAGGTCGCTTTCCGGCTTAGCAATTTCGGCTGACCTGTCCCTCTTTGGGACTCGTGTGAGAGTAGGGTACACATATCTATTGTGAGTTACTTTTAGTATAGATAAAATTTCTGTTTTTGTGTTGAGATTTCTATTTTCACATATAGTCCATTAAATAAAGTTACGTATGTGGTAAATAAGTTAATGAGCCCTGAGTATTTGAAAACCATTCAGTGACTGAATTTCCTAGAGCTGAGAAAGAGGATGGCACAATCTGCTCGAGGTGAGAAGAGGGTAGGTGTAATCTGCTTGAGCTGAGAAGGGGAAGAGTATAGGCTGCTAGAACTGAGAAGGGGATTAGTAAAGGCTGCTAGAGCTGAGAAGGAGATTAGTGTAGGCTGCTAGAGCTGAATAGGGGATGAGTGTAGGCTGCTAGAGCTGAGAAGGGGATGAGTGTAGGCCATTAGAGCTGAGAAGGGGATGAGCACAGGCTGCTAGAGCAGAGAAGGGGATGAGTGTAGGCTGCTAGAGCTGAGAAGGGGATGAGTGTAGGCCATTAGAGCTGAGAAGGGGATGAGCACAGGCTGCTAGAGCTGAGAAGGGGATGAGTATAGGCTGCTAGAGCTGAGAAGGGGATGAGCACAGGCTGCTAGAGCTGCGAAGGGGATGAGTATAGGCTGCTAGAGCTGAGAAGGGGATAATTACAGGCTGCTAGAGCTGAGAAGGGGATGAGTATAGGCTGATAGAGCTGGGAAGGGGATGAGCACAGGCTGATAGAGCTGAGAAGGGGATGAGCACAGGCTGCTAGAGCTGAGAAGGGGATGAGTACAGGCTGCTAGAGCTGGGAAGGGGATGAGCACAGGCTGCTAGAGCTGCGAAGGGGATGAGTATAGGCTGCTAGAGCTGAGAAGGGGATGAGCACAGGCTGCTAGAGCAGAGAAGGGGATGAGTATAGGCTGCTAGAGCTGAGAAGGGGATGAGCACAGGCTGCTAGAGCTGAGAAGGGGATGAGTACAGGCTGCTAGAGCTGGGAAGGGGATGAGCACAGGCTGATAGAGCTGAGAAGGGGAAGAGTACAGGCAGCTAGAGCTGAGAAGCGGATGAGCACAGGCTGCTAGAGCTGAGAAGGGGATGAGTATAGGCTGCTAGAGCTGAGAAGGGGATGAGCACAGGCTGCTAGAGCAGAGAAGGGGATGAGTATAGGCTGCTAGAGCTGAGAAGGGGATGGGCACAGGCTGCTAGAGCTGAGAAGGGGATGAGTATAGGCTGCTAGAGCTGAGAAGGGGATGAGTACAGGCAGCTAGAGCTGAGAAGGGAATGATTTTTTTTGATTTTTTTTAATTGCTGTACTCCATATACTCCAGCTATATGAAGGTGGTCTGTAAATAATCTAGCCTAGACCAGACAATCCAGTGAATGATATCATGAACATCGATCCACGCAATTGGGAGGAACATCGATCCACACAATTGGGAGACGATGACATGTTTCAACCAAGTCAGTGAGTCTGACTACCCGGTGAAGAGGAATGGGGGTGAATGTTTAATCAAATACATGTTCTGTGGTTTGTCAGCGACACCAGGAAATGTGCAATTATCGAGTTATTGAACACTAAAAAGGAATGTATCATCCTCCGATCCTTTATCTGATTCACAAAGTCCACTTTTACAATGATATAGCTTGTTTGTTTCCTAATGCCACACTCGGCAATAATCCAACTATATGATAGCATCCCGAAAACAATTGTGTCTGGACCAGACAATCCACTGATCTATATTGTGAGTAACGATCCATGCCATAGGGTATGTTGACATGTCCTAAACCAAGTTACTGAGCACTATCCATTAAAATGTCTCATACAACAAGCATGGGTTGCTGAAAAACAATTCTAAACTGTAAATACACTAGGCTATTTAGAACGTGGTCAAATGTAGAAAATGTTATATTTGGGATAACTCTACAAACAGTACAAATTATAGACTTTTGGGGGGTTGCATCCCATTCGGGATTCAAACTCACACTCTCAGAGTAAGAACCTTATCGCAAGCACACAAAGACAGCCACTGAGGTTTCCACAAAATGTAAGTCTGACAACTGGTAGCATTAATCACTTCGTGCTGGCAATTTAGTATATAAGGAAACAAGAGTCCCATCAGACTGGACAACCCATGCACTGTGTATCTTCCTGAGGCAAGGGAGTTAACTGACAATAAAAGTCCAATTTGCACCCTTGCCGAACTAGACTGGAATTTCAAGGATCGGTTGTTCAGGTCACCAATGGCTTTTACGATTTATGTCCCTTTTATGTCCCGCCTATTGATCAATCAGCTTCCATCTCTCATATCACTTGCATTTGCCTCAAACAAAATGGCGATGCCCAGTGAAGACAATCTGATCTATACTGTAATCAAACGGGTTTTACCCCACGAAGTGCATCAAATCACTTGAGCACCTTGGTTAAAAACATAAAAAGATTTGCAAAAAATCTGTCGACACCAAGTAGGCAGAACACATGCTTTGCAAATCCTGCAGTAGACCGACATCTGTATATTGAAATCCATGTTGTTTACAAACCCGATGTCTAGTTTCGGTTTCTTAATTGTGATTGGTCTATGCATAGATTTGTTAGTCCAGCCATAATGTGACTCCGGAATTCCAGCCTTGTTCAGCAAGGGTGGAAACTGTACTTTTAGCAGGGGTAGAATATGTCTTCAGCAACCAATGCTTGCCATAAAAAGCGACTATGCTTGTTGTAGGAGGCGACTAACGGGATCTGGTGGTCAGGCTCGTTGACTTGGTTGATGCATGTCATCATATCCCAATTGCATGGATCGATGCTCATGATGTCAGTCACTGGATTGTCTGGTCCAGACATGATTATTTAGAAATCGCCGTCATATAGCTGGAATATTGCTGAGTGCGGCAACGTCCTTGCCTTGGGAAGATGTGTACTTAAAGGCCACCAGACAACAACATAAGATATGGGACGGTACCTGTTAGTTTACCACAGAGCAGTCGGAATGCTGATGTCAGCAGTGACAGCGAGCACACAAACATGTACAGCAGACTCAGCAAGGCTAGCAACCGCAACAGCCATAGCACCATCGTCGTCACCTTACAGCGCCTACCCCCTTGAACGAAAAGGACACAATATATATATTATAACTTCAGCACTGACAATCAGCTTGTTTATTCATTTCACATGATTGCAATATTGATAATGACCACAGAACACATGACTAGGTTGTTGGCAGTAGAAAATTGACTCGATCGATCCATTTATGGTAAGGAAATACCAAGAGAAATATACAATCAGTACTGCCATGTCAAATTTTTCTCAGTTTGGCATCCATAGAATGTCGTATATGTAAGCTATATGGCTAGGGTACATTTCTGTATACAGAAACATACCAGGGTGCCATTGTATAAAGCGATCTTAGCGCTAAGGTGATCTTAACTCCCATACCTTAACATAGACTTATGATAGTCGTAGCGCTAAGGTTGTTTTGTACAACGACACCCTGGTGCACATATCTGTAGTACCTGTGCCGACAATGATCCCTTTAATTTATAGATTCTCCAAGTGCTCAGATTCAGTACAAATTTCCTAGTGAAAATATTCCCTCTCCCTGATATTAATGTAATCATTAGAACCTTAAATATGTATCTTGGTTTCTTCAAATCAAGTGAAAATGTGTTCAACATGCATGTGCTCAATATCACTGGACAATATACATTTACATTTGACATAGGAGAGAAATTACTACCCGTGGAACGAGGCTAATCATAAGTGGCAGTGACTTGTATTGACATTCTTACAAATAAGAACTTGGCAAAAATACTACTTTTGCGCAAAATACCTATATTTCACTAAATTGCCTGTCTAAATCTCTGTTTATGACATCTTAAACAAAGGCCGTACTGTACCTTCATTCTCTGTACCCGCCGCCTCAATCTCAACATGCGCACTGGACAGCAAGGGCCAACCATTTTCACCGTTCTCATTCTGAACTCTCTGAAAATATCAAAAGACCTCAATGTGATTGTTCACAAAGACACTCCTCATATGTTGATACGAGTACCAGTTGTATATCTCACCCTGTCTGGCTCACATCCAACTCGCTGCATGTTGCTTTGGATCTTTTTTCTTGAGAACCCAGCGACTCAACGCGCGAGTGTTGGTGCTCGAAAAGCGCGCCTTTAGATGGTTGTAGCGCTTACGCTGGTCGATTAACAGACCAGTCGAATTATTTCCTCCTCGCATTAATCATGTTAATAACATTATATTGCCCCACAGTTTTGGAATATTTTCTGCAATCCATTAGCATGATGATTATGTTGATGTGATTATCATTGGGATTTTAACCGATCCCCACTACTGTCTCACTTATGGTATACACAATGATATCCTTTTTTTTGAATGTCAAAGCATGTTCTATTTTAAGATCCAAATCAAAATAGATATATATAAACACACAGCACTCATGATAAAGAAATGAGTCGGTATCGTGATATTATTCCTCTTATAATAATCTCGAACTTCGCGCCATTGTTGTTTGTTAAAGGGGCGCTGATCTAAAGCAATTCCCCGGGACTGGTTGTTGCCTTTGTTATTGTTTTTTTCCCAGTGAATACCCGGATGTATAGCAGAAATCTAGACTAGTTCGCGACCTCTGCTACGCCATTCGTAAGCGCATTAGTCACTTTTATGGGTAGTAATAAGGGCGTATGGTCACATTGATCAACAAAATGAAATACAGTTTTCGAGATAATAAGGAAATGTAGGTATCTTTGTGGGTAGTATCGGTAATGGTGACGAAGTTTTGATAAGTCACTTGCTTGGTAATTTTGCGATTTTCGTTTACACTATTTCGACTTGCAACACAAAGTAATTATTTCACCTGATCATTGCCTTTATTTATAGTGTGTATAATTTTTTACTGTCAAAATGTGTAACATTTTCAAATTTATTAAACGCCTAAATATTCAGTTATTTTACAAAGCGTCTGAAAAACATTTCAATCTGTTTTATTATGATAACGAATTCCAAACATTTTGATGTTTAATGTCATCACCAAGAGACGTTGAAAAGTACATTTCCATGTTGTTTGACTTCTAATCCTACATAATAATCTGTTGTGATGTTTTTAGGCCCTTTTGATCGTCTTAATCAATTTTAGTCAATCTGGACAGATTTTTCAGTCAAAATGACTGAAATATTTACACAATTTATTGATTGCCTGAGAGAATCACATTTTACAAATTGACGGTAATATATACACGATTACAAAGGAAAAGACTTGTGAAAACAACGTCTATCGCGCATTGAAGAATTTCCCAACCAAGACGTAGAGGAACAAGAACGAATCGGTTCTATGCTACAGCAAATGAAGAAAAACAAAATGCAAATATCATAATTACAACCTACCAAATTTATGTGTATAATTTTAAGCAGCTTCCTTGTTCGAGGAATGTATCCGTGAATATCCATACAAAGGAACAATATCCCACTCGTCTGCAGCCGTACAAAGAAACTTATTCGTTGTCACGTGTCGCTGTAACAATTTAATATTTTAAAAGAAATATATCGTTTGGGGATATTATAACCCGTGTTCGTTTCTCAACTGATCACTAAGATTGTTTCAGGTGTTTCACATAGGTGTCAAGTCTCAAGGGTCGGCTGAGAAAGCCCACGTGGCAACTATTTTCATAACGTTCACGGTTCCTAAAAAATCCATTGAGTGATAGATAACAATGAGCAATCAATCAACGTATTATCAGTTAACCCTTTGAACAAAGTATGTTGTTTTTACATCGGCACTTCACGCCATGATATGAGTGTATTCCCTTTGTTTTAGTAAATCTAGACATGTAAACACTCACTTTTGACATATCCACTGCGCAAGATAACAGTGATTAATCAATCAACGTATTTTCTGTTAATCCTTTGATGACTAGGAACGATCCGTTGATTTACAAAAAAAGTAAATCAACTGATCATTCACCCCTTGCTGGGCTGCCACGTGCATATTACATAACACACATTTCACCTCACTTCAAACCTGAATTTAGATTGAATAATTACCCCAGACACAATAAATGCCAAATGGGAACCTTTGTCAGGTAATATAAGTGTAGCTACCACTAATTGTACCTGTATTAAACTAATTAACTGAGCATCAAGTGAATGACGACTAATACACAAGTATAGGGTATACCAGAAAACATGGATGACAACAAGGGAGTATAGTAATCGTATTATTGACGCAATCCGAAATCCGAAAATGCTTTCACTGCATGGATACTTTTTTTTTTTTTTTTATTAAACTATTACCATCTGGGGTATTTCCAAATGACGACATCCGATGAGCTCCGCCGTTCTTTTTGTCTGTTTGGTCAGGCTGAAGAAATTAATTAACATGCGCCCTTTGTCGAAATCTTTATAGATCACAGTTAACCAATCAGTGTTAAAAAATGCGTAAAACAAATATTGCCTCCAGCCTCCAAGTTTATTTAGCTGTCCTTGCAGATGGTACCCAATCTCTGGTCACGCTCAGTTGCGTTGTGTATCATCCGGGTACTCACGGGGGGGGGGGGGGGGGGGGGGGGGGGGGGGGAACAATAACAAAGGCAACAACCAGTCCGGGGAATTGCGTTAGATCAGTGCCCCTTTACGCCGTACTCAGCAATATTCTACCTATATGGCGGAGATCTGTTAATAATCGAGTCTGGACCAGACATGCAATCCAGTGATTGACATCATGAGCATCGATCTGTGCATGGGATTCGATGACATGTATCAACCAAGTCAGCGAGCCTGACCACCCGAGCCCGTTAGTTGCCTCTTGCGACAAGCATGCACGTGTTGTCCTCACCCGGACACCATTTGTACAGGACCGTGTGCATATATGTTATAGTCACAGGAAAGTCACGCACAAATTAACACACCGATTAAGCAAAATAAATTCAAAAATGCTAAATAATTATTTAACTATAACTAATTAGCATCTGCTTCCTTAATTAAGTAAACAGGTGATGTAATCTGCTTATTAAACCTATAGATGCTGAAGTCACATGCTAATTCAAATTATATATGCTAAAGTCACATGCTAATTAAACCTATCGATGCTAAAGTCACATGCTAGTTAAAATTATGTATGCTAAAGTCACATGCTAATTAAATCTATAGATGCTTAAGTCACATGCTAGTTTAAAAAATAGAGATGCTACAGTCACGTGATAATTAAACCTACAGATGCTAAAGTCACATGCTAATTAAACCTGAAATATGTTGAAGACACATGCTAATTAGACCTATGAGTTCTAAAATCACATACTAATTAAACCCGCAGGTGTCAAGTACAGTCGCTGACGACTTATCAACCAGGCAAATTAGTTTCCTGTCACGTGAACGAGGACACAGAATATACACTGCACGGTATTCAGGAAACGCTACGCTGTATAATCTCATGCAGATTGCGTAGTGACATCATCGTTCTCACCTGTCATACGCGTGTCAATGACAATTATCATCTAAGCTTGTCCTTTCATCATTGGGTATTTCATGGCAAATCTGATGGTGAGCATCCACTTCGGCATTTATTCCAAATTTAAAATTCCAAAAATTCAATATATGCAACCCCTAAAAGCCCCCTCTTGGGTTGCACACACCACTTTCACCCTTTTCGCAATACACTAAATGGCCCGGCCAGGCCCGTGTGCTAAAGTCGGAAAGCGCACGTTAAATCTCCTATATCAGTCAGTCAGTCAGTCAGTCAGTCAGTCAGTCAGTCGGTGAGCACTCATCTCCCGAGTGCCAAATCAGGTCCCCCCGGAAGCGCTCGTTAAATCTCTCTAACATTACCATCCATCGCCTTTTCAACACATATAGGAATGAATATAATAAATATATTATTCATTGTATATCTTTTGCAACACAAAAACAATATCTTTTTGCAGCCAAATGAGAAAAGGTTAGCTGTATTTGGTGACTAAAATAAACATAATGGCCCCGTGTAGGGGAATCGACTCCTATATGTGACTCCTGTGCATTTTGCAGAGAGGAGCCCAATCACTTAATATGATACCTCAGTATTATTACCCCAACGGCATATATGCTGAAGGAAAAAAAATAGGGAATAATTAAATATATACGGAAATAGACTTTACTGTCAGAACATTTGATTTCAACAAATGTTAGAATCAAATGTTGAAATGTGTTTGTATGCGTTGTTTCGTGATATAAACATATTTATTTCCATAAAGTGGAGGGATTGGCAAACAAGCAAATTTTGCTTATCTGAATGCCTCACCCAAACATGATACAAATACAAATAGCAATGTATTGAAAGTGACATGAGAAATAGCATACATTGTATACTTGACATTAAAGATAAGTATTGTTCTGTAAGTGTTTAATTACTGGATTATCTTTCGTAACTACAGCTACGTTATTATTTACATCCAGCACAACAGCATCGCAGTATCATACAGCAAAGTCAACATCTCAGACAAAATCTCTAAATCGGCAAGAAGATAGAATAAAACTGTGCACCGATTTCAAAATTTCAAGATTTGTTACTGTCGTTAAATTTGAATTACCATTTACAATTGAATTTAAATCGTAGCCTTTTACGAAATAATACATGTTTTGCCTTACTGTACTGTTTAAGGGACACGTAAAAAAGAAATGAAGTGCATCTTCCGTATGATAGCCACAACAACATCTCGGGCTGTCGTATATAAATCTGGCGAATTTGTCGGCGTTAAGTCGGTGTATGCGTTGTTTCCAATGCGTATTTAGTGGGCAAGGCTAGGAACCCATGATAGCATATAATTTTACAGTGTCTAAAACTAAGTGTGATATAAACATATTTATTTCCATAAAGTGGAGGGATTGGCAAACAAGCAAATTTTGCTTATCTGAATGCCTCTCCCAAACATGATACACATACAAATTACAATGTATTGAAAGTGACATAAGAAATAGCATACATTATATAATTGACATTAAAGATAAGTATTGTTCTGTAAGTGTTTAATTACTGGATTATCTTTCGTAACTACAGCTACGTTATTATTTACATCCAGCACAACAACATCGCAGCATCATATAGCAAAGTCAACATCTCAGACAAAACCTCTAAATCGGCAAGAAGATAGAATAACACTGTGCACTGATTTCTAAGGGTTCTCTTATTCATTTACATCAGTATATATTTACAGTCATATATAACTATATAACTATAAAACTATATAATTTACTGACAAGAGCATTTTAAAATTCTTATATTTTTAGGATTTAGGGATTAGGTGATCTTTATCACCTGACTGAAGGAGTAAGCATATACTCCAAAAGGTTGTGTTT